GACCAACGCTTCTCATCCTGGTCGGCCTCCTCTACACCATGTCCACGTCCAGGGGCACAGAAAGCAGGGTGCACTGATGATGAGATGCATTTCAGGGGTACTGATGGCTTTGGAGAACATGAGCCCCTTTGCTGGACAGCCTGGAGTGTCAGGGAACCAACCGCCAAGCCTGAGGCCATCTCAGTGAACAAAAAGCAAGAACAAGGCAGAAGTGAGGACCATGGTCCCCATGATGGTCCAGGGGAGCTTTTAAGATGGGTGGGGGGCCCTAAATGGGAGGGAGGCCAGGCTCTTCATGCAGTGTCCTTCCTGACCCCTGAGGCGTGGGAAAGCTGGAACTCTATCTCCTCAGGCAGACAAGAGTCAGGAGCAGACACCTTCAGACCCGCCCACCCCTTGTTTGTCTTGGCTGAGGGCTTCACGGGGCTTTTTGAAGCCGATTCCATGAGTGCAAATCTGGAGGAATCAGGACAGGGATCACAGAGGCCGGAGCTGAAGGGGCCTCAGATGGGGAACTAGAGGTGGTCCTCCCTTGAGTGACACCTCATCTCCACTCTGTGCACATCGCTTGGCCCAAGAACCGCAGAGGGGCAGGGCCTGAGCTAAACCCCTCCAGGACATGCAAGCTCTCAAGGCCACCCAGCCCTGGGTGCCTGGGGTGCGCCTCTGCGCTTCAGGACACACACTGATCCTTCCAGTATCCAGGGGCTCTGTCAACAGCACCAGGCCTCCCTGGACCGTGCCCCACCCCTCCCAAGCCCATAATTCCTCATCTTGACTCAGTGCCGACCCCCCACCACCATCAGCTCAGCCCGGACACTCCCAGGTCCTGTTCCACACAGATGCTGGTGGGTCACGTGTCCCACAGCTGAAGGCCTCCCCCATCCGCCTCCACCATCTGCTGAGGCCCCATAATTATTGCAAGGCTCTGTGCAGCCTCACTTGGAGGGAAGAGCTCATGTAGCCTTGTAATGCAAGCCAGGCCTGAGGCCGCTCTGGCAGGGGGTCCCCAGCTGGGTAATGAGTTTCGCTGAGGTGGCCTGGGCTGTCCATCTGAACACCTCATGGAGGACAGCGTCTTCTCTGTATCCCATCCCTGCTCCCTGAGTCCTTCCAAACACAGGGCTGGGGGGGGGGTTCCCCGAGACTGGCTTCCCACGTGGGACAGGGTAGACACCCTACCTAGAGCCTAGGCAGGGTGGAGCGGAGCACGCTGCTGGTGTGTCTTTGCTTGGGCTGTCTTTTGAAAGGAGCGGGGCAGCTTCCCCCCCCACCCCTCCTAAACCTGCTGAGCTGCCCTCATCTCCCCTTCCTGGAGCCTGGGCCCCACAAAGGGAGGGCCTTGGCTGAGGAGGCCAGCGCTGTGGGCCAGGCCTCTGGGAGAGGTGTAGGGAACTGCCTTCTTTCCTCCTGCAGACTGCTGCTCAATCTCAAGCCCTCCCTACCCAGTGTCATCCTGGAGCATAAACCCCAAGCCCAGCCCCTTCTGCCCTACCCCTCAGCAGGGGTGAGGACCACCCCACCCCCACCCCATATTTCCTGGGCTTATCATCATCATCATCATCGTTTTGACACACTTGGTTTCTGGGGCAAACAGAACGTACCGTTGTAGACTTCTGTGTGTGCAGAACCCAGCACATAGTAGGTGCTTTAAGAACCATTTGAGGAGAGAGATGGGATGGGGAAAGAGGGAGCAGACACAATGAGAGGTAAGGGCCCCCACTTGTGTATGAGGGTGGTGTCTGCAAGGCTCCTCGGGGGGCTTTGGGTCGCCTGCAGTGGTGTGCGCTGCCGCTGCCCCAACCACGGCTGCTGCTGCCGCTGCTGCAGGGTGAGGTGGAGCTGGCTAATTTGGGCAATAGTGTCAGCTGTGTTGTCCTGTCAAGACCCCACTTGCTCAGGAAGCTCAGGGTGAACCTGAGGTCAAGGGTCACCCAGAGTTCACTGACTGAGTCAGGGTGACCTCCTGCCGTCTGTCCGCAGTACCCAAGAGCAGGTCCTGAGCTCACCCTGAGGAGTGAGAAGGGTGGGCGAAGCAGTGGAAAGGGATCTCTGAGGCGGACCAGAGCCCAGCACTCACCCTCGCCCCTCACACTCAGTGGCTGGGAAACTAAGCGGCATCCCATATCCTTGGGGAAGAGTGACAGCCAGGAGACACCCGCAGGCCAGGCCTCTGCCTAGCAGCTCGGCCCATCATCTATTCCCAGTGAGGAGCTTGGTGCACAGTGGGACCTCCTTCCTCGGGTGTGGGGGAGTCACAGAGGGGCTTGGGGTGGTGGGGCGCTGAAGGAGGAACTTCAGAATAGCTCAGAAACCACTTCAGGGCTGAGGCCGAGGCTGGGGAGGCCTCAGCAGGGCTGGCAACCTTGCGGGGATACAGGTGTAGGCCACACAGCGAGGGAGGACTGGGGCCGGGCTTCCTTCCCCTGGCTGGGGGACTTGGCAGGCCCAGCCTGACTTTCCTGTTCAGCTTCCTCTCCTGTACAGGTGTCTCCTGGGGCAGCCACGAGGGTCACCAGTGAAAAATGGGTGAGAGGCTTTTCCCACCAACCCTGAAAACAGGGCCAAATGTCTCTGCCATTCCTCTCCGGGCCTCAGCAGACCCCTCAGATACCCAGCATCCTCCTCCCTTCAGAGGCTTGTCCTGGCATAACGGCTTGCGGCGACACCTTGTCCTCTAAGTGCTGCTTAGAAACGTGTCCCTTTCCTTTTGTGGTGTCGCAGGGAGCTGAGCGAGCCACAGCCAGGGCAGGGTTGTGTGGAGGCTCCAGCTTCGAGCAGCAGGAGCACGGATTATGAAATTACAGGGAATTCCAAGCAGCCGCGTCGCCTGCCTGGTGTCTGGCTTCGTGGCTGGAATGGGCCTCCGCCGAGGGAGGTTTGATAACTCAGCAGATCACGGCCTGACACCCTTCACTAGTGCGTTGACGCTGGCAGAGAAGATGGAGCTTAGACCCATGCAGTGGGAAGGGATTGGCTCAGAGGAGGAGATGCTGGGGAGAGGGAGAATCTGGAGGGGATGATCTGGCAGGTGATTTTTTTTTACAGTCCACTGGAGTGGGGAGTCGTGGTTGTTACAGTGTATCAAGAGCCTAGTGGAGGGCCCTGGACCCCCTTCTAGCCACTTTCTCGTTCTTTACCACTGCAGCTCAGTCTACCCCCAACCCCTGTTGGCTTATTCCTTACAAAGGCACCTCTCTCTTTTTCATGTTTTACTTCCCCTGTCAACCATGCAATGACCAAGATGCCCGCAAGCTACTGGGACAGAAATTGTTTCTAACCTCCTGGCCACTTAATGGCTCTCTTCCCAGGCCTTCCACAAATACAACCCTCGGTTTTCGAAAACTTCTTGACCGTTCTGCAAAAACAAGGCTGTACCTTGATAGCAGTTCTGGCAGATGGATGGGGGAGGGGTGGCTTTAACAGGCCCTGCATCCCCCCCCCCCCCCCCAGCAAGCTGCTGCCCTTGCCTCCTGTGTGACTCAGGGCGAGTTGCTTAGCTTCACTGTGCATCCTTTGCTTACGTCCAGACTGGCGGCATGGTTTGCAGCAAGGAGCATGTGAAACGATGCCTTAGAGGGTCTGGAGTGTGTACGGAGGCATTGGTGTGATTGGTGCTTCCGAGGACCCTGCACAAATTCCACCAGGAGCCTTTCACTCTGTGTGGTGAAGGAAGTAGAGCCACATGTCCAGAGCGCCTGGCGCCCAAGGGCTCGCCAAGGAATGGCCACTGTGGCCACCGGTGAGGGCAGCTCGGGGGTGGTGTAGTGAGGTCCTGGGACACTGTGGCTGCACCAGTTTCTTGGACTCCACCAGTGTGTGTAGAGAGAGGAGCGAGGAATGTGATCCGTCCCAGCAGCCCGGGGGAGCCAGACCATATCTGGTATGTCTCTCTGGAATGATTTTGGGGGAATTCACCGAAGCTGGAACTTAAGACGTGGACTGCCGGTAACCCGTAACACAGGGATGTGGTGCTGTCCGTGTGCATACCCCCCACCAGGGGACCTGGTGCCCGGGGTGGGAGTCGGCTTACACAGCACAGCGCTGGCTGCTTGGGCCCGCCCTTGAATGGCCGTGAACTTGTTTTTCCACGTCATTTGCTCTCAAATGTACTACCGAGCTGGGCGACGCTAACACAGAGGCTCAGGTCCCTCCTCGTAACAAGCGATTGTGTGTTCTTCAGAGGTGGCTGAGGAGGAGGAGGGGGCCCGGCCCCAAGGAGGTGGGGAAAGGGAAACAAACCTGCCTCACAGTGAGCCTGCGTGTCCTGGGGCCAGCTCCCCCCAAAGCACATGCCATTTCTGTCCCTGGAAGGGGTTAAAGGCCTTCTGGAGTCAAGAACAAGCAGGTGTCCCACCGTGCCAGAGACCGCTGCCTAAACTGTTTCCAGCTCCCCCCCCCTCCCCTTCTGCAATACGTCTGTGATCAGCCACGGGACAGAGGCGCCAGCAGCCGGCCTCTGACAGACATCAGGTTAGCTCGCTCCCACTGGGGTGGTGGCCCAGGATATAAATCCAGGCTCGAGCCCCTGCTGTGTCCCTCTCCCTAGCACCCGGGGTGGGGTGGGGTGGGGGGGACGAAGGAGTTTCCTTCCAAAGACCTTTCTTTTATCTGACGCCTCACAGCTCAGCAGGCTGCGCTTGGTGGAGGCAGTCACAGCGGCCGACGCCAGCAAGCAGCCTCAGCAAGGCGACTTGCAGGGGTGAAGAGGGCAGGTATTGCCAAGCCTGGAGAAGAAGGGCCCTGGCGGGCCTCAGCCCTTGGTGTCATCACAGGGAGGCCCTCTGGCCACTGCAGACCGCACCATGTGGGCCCCGGGGCGTCGTCGTCATCGGTTCTGGTTCCACCGGGGGCTGCTGTTGCTGCTGCTCCTGGGGCCACCCCTTCAAGGCCTAACGCTGCCACCCATCCGGTATTCCCATGCGGGCATCTGCCCCAACGACATGAACCCCAACCTTTGGGTGGATGCCCAGAGCACCTGCAAGCGTGAGTGTGAAACTGACCAGGTGAGTGGGACCCCTGAAGCCTAGGACGGACCATGTGAGTGGGTCTGTGATGGTGTGGGAGCTAGGACGTGGGGACGGCTGGGGAGTGCCTCCAGGAACGTGAAGGAACCCAGACCCTGCCCGCCCAGAGACAAGCAGGGCTTGGTGCCGGCCTCTATACAGCTGAGGCCTGGAAGAGGGCGTGGTATCCAAATCCATCCTGGAGCATTCCTCTTTGGGTTTGTGGAGGGCTGCGTTGGGCCAGCACCACACTGGGCACACAGCATGTGTTGGGATAACACAACAGCCTGCCAGATGTTCAGTGGCCCACTCACAGGTGAGGGAACGGGTACCCACAGGAGTGATGCCATAGCCAGGTGGGCTTGGAAGCCTGCCTGCCTGATGCCGTGTTCGCAGCTAGTTAGACCTGGTTTCCAGGCCCTTTCCCAGGTTTGGACTCGGCCACACAACGATGAGGCTGCTGGGCCGTTTGGGTGGGAGCGAATCTGTGCAAACACTCCAAGCGTCCTGGGAGGAAAGTGGACTGAGTTCCCACCTGTTGGGCTCTTCAGTGCTTCCATACTTTCCTCCCTCCTGGACGCTGCCGTCAGCAAGGGCCACTTCCAGATGGTTCTTGCCTGGCTGCCAGGTGGGTTCTTCCAAGGGCCATCCTTATCCAGTCCTGCTGGGAGAAAAGTCCTTAGGTTTACCCTAGTACCCATGCCTGCCCTGGGTGTGGCCCCTGCCTGGCCATCTCTGAGGTGGTCCACAGTCTCCTGGACTTCGGGTCTGGGTTGGGCATCATTAAATAACATGGGAGGCTCCAGTGCTGCTGGAAGTAGCTGGTCGCCCTGGGAAAGCATGGGGTTTCCATGGAGAGAGTGGCTTCTGCCTCATGTTCCCTGGGGACCATTCTCAGGCTTCCCAAGGCAGGTACTCCAGTACCCAGTGGTGGTGCTGAGGAACAGGAACAGGAAAGATGACAATCCTCCCATCCATAGGGCTCATGCCATCCAATGACTACCTTTGGAGAATCTTTTTCACTGACACTGGCTAGCCTGAAGTCAGGTGGCACCTAGGGACAGCACAACTCTGGCTGGCTTTGCGTGCTGTCTGGAGAAAGCACCTGAGTGCAGCTAAGGATCCAGGTAGCCCACGGGGACATTGTAAATCCTTAAGTGAAAGTATTCTAAATATTTCCTCCAGGGTCCCTTCACCAGAGCTCCAAGGGTTCTGGTTCCTGAGTGTCCAGACACTCCTGGACCTCTGGATCCTGGGGGAACTGCCTACCCACATTGGAATGAAATAGCCCTCAGGCCAAGGAACAGGCTTTCCTGTTCACAGGTCGCTCTGCCCCCGCCCACCCTCCATTCTCAAGCTCTCTCCCTGGAACCTCAGCTCTGGATAGGACCCATCTCCATTTCCAAGCATGCCCTGTTGTGGCGCAGAAGCCCATGCCAAACAAGGGCCGCAAAACAAAGTCCTTATTCTAAGCCCAAAGGGGGAGAAACAGTCAAGCTGTGGCTCCACACAGCCGGGTGGGGGGAGGACTTTCCCCCCCTCTTAGCTCATGTGGAATGTCGGAAAGGCTGGGATCAAAGTGGGAAGGACAAGAGGCCAGGGTGGGCGGGGACTCCTTCACACAGCCACTACCTGGTGGAGGATTAGCCGCCCAGCCAGCCGCCCAGCCACAAGGTGTGACATTGTGCAAAGCACCACATGCAACCCTTGTTTGTGTCGGCCCTGGTGGCATGTGCTAATTTTGAAGAATTAGAGTAAAGCCTTCCACGACTCCACAGAAGTCAGAGAGGATTACAGACTAGCAAGTCTTTGCTCGTACCACACAGGGGGACTTTTTTTTTTTTTCTTTTTCTGGTCACCAGGGTTCTCTGATATCCCGGGTTCAGTGTTGGGTTGGGGGTCTTTCAGGGGAAAGAGAGGTGTGACTAGCCTTGAGCATGAGTCCAAGATGCAACCTCTTCAAGTTAGTGAACACATCCTCCCCTCGGTGGAAGAAAGAGAAAAAGTCATCCTCACGCCGCTTCATCTAGGTCACCAAAGGGCCTGGGTCCGTTTCCTACCACCCCTCACCTCTGTGGCTTGAGTGTCATCTCTGCCTCTCTGGGTTCTCATTTTGAAAATGACAGTGAGCACATGTCCCCTTTCGGAGGTCTGTGGCCCATCTTTTCCCACACTACCAGCTCTGTGATCTTGGGCGAGTTGTTTGACCTCTCTGTGCTTTAAATTATGTACCAAGTGGGAATAGTGGGTGTGCCCCCTTGGTCCTGGAGGAGAGCAGGTAAGCTGAATATGGGCGGGAGCCTGACCGACAGTAGGTGCTGGGTCTACGTGGGATCTTATCTGCATTAAGGGCTCTGCGGAAACACATATATAAGTCCTCATGTCACAGCCTCTGCGGCAAGACGTGGGAATCTGTTCTTGCTTCCTCTGTTCAGAACTCCTCTCTCTCTGGCTCTTTCAGGCATGTGAGACCTATGAGAAGTGCTGCCCCAATGTGTGTGGGACCAAGAGCTGTGTGGCAGCCCGCTACATGGACGTGAAAGGGAGGAAGGGCCCCGTGGGCATGCCCAAGGAGGCCACGTGTGATCACTTCATGTGTCTGCAGCAGGGCTCTGAGTGTGACATCTGGGATGGACAGCCCGTGTGCAAGTGCAAAGACCGCTGTGAGAAGGAGCCCAGCTTCACTTGCGCCTCGGACGGCCTCACCTATTACAACCGCTGCTACATGGACGCCGAGGCCTGCTCCAAGGGCATCTCCCTGACTGTGGTCACCTGCCGCTATCACTTGACCTGGCCCAACACCAGCCCTCCACCGCCCGAGACCACTGCACATCCTACCACGGCCTCCCCGGAGACTCTGGGGCTGGACATGGCGGCCCCGGCCCTACTCAACCATCCCGTCCATCAGTCCGTCACCGTGGGGGAGACCGTGAGTTTCCTCTGCGATGTGGTGGGCCGGCCCCGGCCCGAGCTCACTTGGGAGAAACAGCTGGAGGATAGAGAGAATGTGGTCATGAGGCCCAACCACGTGCGCGGGAACGTGGTGGTCACCAACATTGCCCAGCTGGTCATCTACAACGCCCAGCCCCAAGATGCTGGCATATACACCTGTACAGCCCAGAACGCCGCTGGCGTCCTGAGGGCTGACTTCCCATTGTCGGTGGTCAGGGGGGGTCAGGCAAGGGCCACCTCAGAGAGCAGTCTCAACGGCACGGCTTTCCCAGCAACCGAGTGCCTAAAGCCCCCAGACAGTGAGGACTGTGGAGAGGAGCAGACGCGCTGGCACTTCGACGCCCAGGCTAACAACTGCCTCACGTTCACCTTCGGCCACTGCCACCGCAATCTCAACCACTTTGAGACCTATGAGGCCTGCATGCTGGCTTGTATGAGTGGGCCTCTGGCCATGTGCAGCCTGCCCGCCCTGCAGGGGCCCTGCAAAGCCTATGTGCCGCGCTGGGCCTACCACAGCCAGACGGGCCTCTGCCAGTCCTTCGTCTACGGTGGCTGCGAGGGCAACAGCAACAACTTCGAAAGCCGCGAGGCCTGCGAGGAGTCGTGTCCCTTCCCCAGGGGCAACCAGAACTGCCGAGCCTGCAAGCCTCGGCAGAAACTCGTCACCAGCTTCTGTCGAAGCGACTTCGTCATCCTGGGCAGGGTCTCCGAGCTGACCGAGGAGCCTGACTCAGGCCGTGCCCTGGTGACCGTGGACGAGGTCCTGAAAGATGAGAAGATGGGCCTCAAGTTCCTGGGCCGGGAGCCGCTGGAAGTGACCCTGCTTCACGTAGACTGGGCCTGCCCTTGCCCCAATGTGACAGTGAGCGAGACGCCGCTCATCATCATGGGGGAGGTGGAGGGTGGCATGGCCGTGCTGAGACCCGACAGTTTCGTGGGCGCCTCGAGCACACGGCGGGTCAGGAAGCTTCGCGAGGTCGTGCACAAGAAAACCTGTGACGTCCTCAAGGACTTTCTGGGCTTGCGCTGAAGCTGGCCACCTACCCTGACCCTCCTCCACCCACCCACCCCCTGCCCTCAGTCAGCCACTGGGTGAGATCCGGATTAGGCAGCCACAGCGGCCAGCGGGGAAACCTCAGCTAACATGTGGGGAGAAAGCCATCACAGGTCTGAAAAGGATCTCTGTTCGTTGGGTTCCATTAGAAGGTCCGTATCTCTTTTTAGCTGGGAAGGAAGTTGGCAAAGGGTGAAGAAAAGACACATGTAAGTTATTTCCCATGAGGGGTCCCCTCAGGTAGTCCCACCCCCTCCCCCTTGCTGACCCAGGTCCCTCTGCCCAGTCTCCTAGTCAGGGGTCAGAAAGAGATGGCATCTGCATTGTTAAATGGTTTAGCTTGCCCAAGGGGTGTGTGGGAAGAGATAAGAGAGTCCAAGGATTGCTTAAGGTAACTTCCCCCATTGCCTCCTACAGAGGCTGCCTCTCACTAAGGGCAGTGGGAAGCCCAGGATGTAACCGATTCTAACAGAGGTTGCAGGGACGACTGCCTTTGGTGGCGTCAGTTTGTGTCCCTGAGGTCACCCCACCAGCAAAAAAATTCATGTTTTCTCTCCTGGGCTGCATTGGTTTGTTGGCTTGCTTCTGTTCGTTTCAGTTCAGTGGACACTTCCTGGGTGCCAGGTGCTAGGACCCTAGAGAATGACTCCGCTCCTCTAGCAGAGCCAAAACGCAAAGTCCTGATCCTAGGCTCCCCCAGGAGCCAGTGAGTGACTGGCAGCAGTCAGCCACTTCCATCTGATGGGTGGTGTGCTTTCATGTGCCATGGACTTCCTTGGAGAAGCTCCAGGATCTGTTTTGGTAGCAAGGGAAGTAAGGAAGACAAAAGGCGGGAGGGGCGGGGGACAGCCCGGGAATCAGCGTGGAGGCGGGCCCATAGAGAAGGAACATTGCTCGATGCTGCCACCTGGTGGTGAGTATGGGTGCCTGCATGGATCAGGAGGGAGGAACCATTTAGGTGGGGACTGGGAGGGGCCTTTTGGAGATGGCAGCTCTGAGGTCCCTTGTTTTTTCTGGTCCCAGCCACACAGGCACTGGGTAGAGGATTTGGAAGCCCTCTCTCTCTGCATCTGTCCTGTTCCCTCTTCAGCCCTTCATTCTGTCCACATCCCTCCAAAGGAGGCATTGTGGGATGCCCTAATGTCTTCCTCAAATAGGAGGAGGATGATACTAAATAAAAATTCATAGTGTCTACGGTTCTACATGCGTGACTCTTTTGGGAGGGCAAGGAAGGGTCTGTAATCACGTCATTAGTTCTGGCAACCTCTTAGCAGGGAAGTCTCATCAGTGGGAACGAATTTGGGCAGTGGAGGGACACAGTAGATTTTCAGGTCCCCTAGGAGAGATGAGGCTCCTTAGCTGTGGGACTCAGCAGAGGTCTATGAACTAGGCAGGAGAAAACTGAACCAGGAAGGCAGCGTGACTTGTCCATAGTCAGAGGCAGAGAGGCCTAGGGCCCTGATGTGCGGTCTGAAGTGCTCTGTGGGGACAGTGGGGGATCAGGGCCATAGACATGATCCCGCCTCTGATGCTGTGGAGAAGGTGGGAGAGACAAGAGCAGGGAGTGGGGGTGGGGACGGGGGGTGGAGGATGGGGAGGGTGCTGCTCAGCTATGACTTCTAGACTTCTGGCTGAGGCCTGGTCTCCAGTGTCTTCAGGGAACCTGCTCAGTTCTGACAATGCTGACCCTGGCTGGCATTCAGTGCATTTGGTTCCGTGCAGACTTACTGCTGTTCCCCAGACCCGTCAAGTGTCTGGAACCCATAGCCTATCTGGCCCTCAAAAGAGACACCTCTCTCTTTCAGTTCCCTGGGGATGCCAGGGCCATACACAAAGGAGGAATCCAGGCCAGGCCCAGCCCAGGCTTGAAGAAGGCACCAGGAGCTTCTATTTCCTGAGAGAAGAGAGGGCAGGGGGTGGGGGTGGGTGGGAGGGGTGGGAACTCCACGCCATTACTGAAGGACACTGAGCAAGAAACTTAGCCATCAATCAGGCTGGCATGACTCATGGTCATTTCCCAACCTGGTCAGGTGTCCAGTGAGGGCGAGGAGTGTCATCCCACTCTGTCCTTAGAGGCCTGAGGACATTGGCTGAACCTGCTTCTAGGCTGCAGTGTCCAACAAATAGCCTCAGAGCCCAAGGGGCAAGTGCCCGGTCACTAGTCCAAGCTGTTCCACGCCACTTTAGTTCACTTACACAAATGGGAGTCCAAACCTCATGGTTCGATCCAGTTTACTGTTCTGCTCCCCCGGTGGAGAGGGAAGTTCGGGGGATCCCCACCCACAATGAGTCTCAGTATAGCTCAAACTCACCTCAGCTTCTCTCTGTAGTCCAGATGGGTCTCAAACTCATGACTCTCCTGTCTCAGTCTCTCAAGCGCTGAGATTACAGGCATGCTCGACTATGATGCCTGGCTAGTCATGGCACTTAGAGAGACCTGGGATTCAGTCAGTTACCTTTGTGAGACTGCAGCTTGGCATGGAGTGGCCCCTTTACCCTGTAAAGATTTCTGGCCAAGGATGGGCCGCAGGACCTAACACCTCCTTTCCTTGTTCTGGGCCTTGTGCCTTGGCCGACATCTGAAATGAGCCCCTCTCATGGCCTGAGTGGGGAATCAGAAGCTCTGAGTCCTGAGGGGATGGGTGATTGAGAAACTGTGACAATTTCTAACCTGCCGTGTGAGATAGATTTCTTTCTTAAAATGCCGTGTTGTCTTTTCATCTTTGCTAGCCTGGCCTTATGCAATGGCCGACAGTGAGCAGCTTCTCAGGCTGACTTGAGCTCCCAGGGCAGGGGTACCAGGCAACCTGTGAAGGTCCCCTGGCTCAGTGTGAGAGACATGGCCTCAATCCTGCTCCAGGACGCAGGGAATTCAGGGCCATCTGCAGCAAGGCCAGTCCTGCTTCCCTGTTTGTGTCAGAGCTCACTCCTCACCTTCTCAAAGCTGGATGGCTCCCCTTACCAGACCTTTCCTTCCCTTCCAATCTATTCAGGCTTGGCTGACACTAGACCAGAACTGTCCCCACCACCCCGAAGCTAGGCACTGTGGCTTTGTTTACCCTCCTCCCTCCCTCTTCCTGAACCCCAGCCTCCTGGGACACTCGGCTCCATTGTCTGGCCAGCTGCTCCCTAGTCTGATGTCACCCTCAGGACAGTGGCGCCAGAGAGCCACCCAAGTGCTAGGACAAAAAACCCAACTAGGGAAAGGGGACAGTAGTAACACATAGCCTCGTGGCTGTTTCCCTCGGCTGTGATCTCCGACTGCCCCGTGATGATAACATCAGGCCGACAGAGTTTACTTTGTGACCCCGAGCACCCTCTCCTGAGCCGGCAGGAGGCACAATGCCGCTGTGTAGCTGGGAAAAATAAGGCAAGGGTAACGAGAAATTTACTTAGCCGTGTGCCAGCGCACAGAACTACAAATCCAGCACTTGGGAGCCAGAGGCAGGAGGATTTCAAGTTCAAGGCCAGACTCGGCTTCATAGCAAAGTTCCAGCTCAAAAGCAAAGGTAAAACAAGAGAAAAATAAAGGAAGAGGGACTGGGGAGATGGCTCAGTAAGAGCATGAAGACCTGAGTTCGGATCCCCAGAATCCATGCAGAAATCTGGGTACAGTCTGTCATCCCTGTGCTGGGGAGGTGGATTCAGGGCGATACTTGGGCCTTGCCCAGACAGCCAGGCTAGCCGAATGTGTGTGCCGGGTCCAGTGAGAAGTCCTGTTCCAAAAGTATGGAGGGAGAGAGATGGTTCAGTGAGGAAAAGTGCTGCCATGCCTGAGTTTGATCCGTAGGCACCACATGGTGGAAAGAAAGAATCTATTCCCACGGGTTGTACACACACACACACACACACACACACGCACACGCACACGCACGTAGGCACCCATGTGCCCTGTTCTGCCTGGATGGGCTGTGACGAGGCCGTGACGAGTCCGATCTTGAACCCCGATGCCTCCGCAGAGCGTGGCTCCAGCCAGTCATTTGCAGGCACATCACCCCAGAGCTGTTTACATCCTGGACACATGATGAGCTTCCATCCCACACAACTGCAGTCATGGCCTAGATTCCTGAGCCAGACATTAGCTTTCTACCGCCTCATCCTTCAGCAGGCAGCTCCTTGGGGAAGAGGGCTCTGCTGTCCCGAGGCTGCCTCAGCCTCTTCTCCAAGCCTGGCCTCCCTCTAGGCTGGTGCTGACCCAAATCGGAATGACGGCCAGGGGCTCCAGGAACACTGCGGCCCTGCTCAGGGCTCACAAGGGGGTTCGCTGGATGAGCATGGGATCTGGGAGGAGGGCAGTGTGGGGCATTTTGTGACTACCATTGGGCCAAGAAGGGACCCTCTGGGGTCTTCCCTTCTCAGCCCCCTCCTGTATACCTCCTTTTCTTATCCCATCTCCCCAAGGAGCCTGGGGCTCCCTTCTCCTCCTCTCTAGGGAATGTGTGAGTAATGCAGGCAGGAGGGTGACAGGGCTCCTGGGTCCTATTCTTGGCCGTGCCTTCATTCTGGAATGTGCCCCGAGGTCAAGTGACACTGTTCTCTCAGGCTGTGTCAGGAGGAAGGAAGGATAAGCTTCCAGGA